CGCTGTACGTGCTCACCACCACCAGCACCGTCAGCCACCACGCGCCCACCACCAGTCGGCCGCTCGCCGCGCGCGGCACGTACATGCCACCTACCGATTCGGGGGATCATGTGTGACTATTCCACGCGTAGGTGGAATTAAAACCGACTATATACACTGAAGAGCACCCCCCTAAAAACTGGTACAACCAGTTAGGTACAAAGAGATCTGGTACCAATCAGAATATGGCGCTCCGGTCGTCAACGACTATGTAAGACAACCAGAGTCTGGCACAGTTGTTAGATCGGTTGCTGTTGCCCCTACCTCGAGGATCATGTGTGACTATTCCACGCGTGGAATTGAAACCGGCTAAGTACACTGAAGAGCACCCCCAAAAAACGGGTACACTCATCTGTATTGAAATAAAAAGGATCTGGAACCCAACCGAATGCGGTGCTCCGGTCGGCAACGACTATATAAGACAACCAGAGTTTGGCACAGTTGTTAGATCGGTTGCTGTTGCTCCTACCTCAGGGATCATGTGTGACTATTCCACGAGTGGAATTGAAACCGGCTATGTACACCGAAGAGCACCCCCAAGAAACGGGTACACTCATCTGTATTGAAATAAAAGGATCTGGAACCCAACAGATTCGGTGCTCCGGTCGGCGACTGTATAAGACAACCAGAGTTTGGCACAGTTGTTAGATTGGTTGCTGTTGCTCCTACCTCGGGGATCATGTGTGACTATTCCACGCGTGGAATTGAAACCGGCTATGTACACTGAAGAGCACCCCCAAAAAACGGGTACACTCATCTGTATTGAAATAAAAGGATCTGGAACCTAGCAGAATACAGTGCTCCGGTCGTCAACGACTATATAAGACAACCAGAGTTTGGCACAGTTGTTAGATCGGTTGCTGTTGCTACGATGGCAGGTTATGATGATTTAATTGAGTTTGAAGTGGTGTTTCAGTCGACGCAAGAGAGAATGGGGCATAGCATTTATGAGGTCGCGATGAAATTTGGATTTTTTCATACGAACATTTTACGAGTGACGCGTGAATATCGGGAATCCGGTAAATCATCAAACCGCTGCGGCCGGCAAAAGTTCGTGCAAGAACGGGACCGACGACGACTTAGGAGAATCATTACACCTGAAGTGCAATCCTTCTGCAAATTGATGCAGATTTCAATGCTGGGCCATCAACAAGTGTCAGCGAGCGAACAACGAGACCTTATCGATATGGGATTTAGGAACCGAAGTGTACCCTTGATGACTGCACGATACAAATCTTTTCGCCTCTACTGGACCCATTAACACCGAAATTGGACTGTTGATGCCTGGAAACACGTTGCCTGGCCTGACGAGTCTAGTTTCAGATTGTTTCGTGCGGATGGTCGTGTACGAGTATGGCGACAATTTCATGAATTCATGGATACTCCATGCCAACATGGGACTGTTCAAGCTGGTGGAGGCTCTGTGATGATATGGGATATGTGTGCAGTTGGAGCGATATAGGACCCCTGATAGTCTAGATACAACTCTGACGGGTGACACGTAATCATCTTATCTGATTACCTGCATCCATTCATGTCTATTGTTCATTCCGACGGACTTGAGCAATGCCAGCAAGACAATGCGTCAGCCCACACGTCCGGAATCACTACAAAGTGGCTCCAGGAACACTCATCTGAATTTAAACAGATCTACTGGCCACCAAAAACACATGAATATTACTGAAAATATTTGGGATGCCTTGCAACGAGCTGTTCAGAAGAATCTCCACCCCCATACTCTTACGAGTTTATGGACAACCCTGCAGAATTCATGGTGTCAATTATCTCCAGCACTACTTCAGACATTTGTCGAGTTCATGCTACATCGTGTTGCGGCACTTCTGTGTGCTTGCGTGGTTATTACACGATATTAGGCAGGTGTACCAGTTTTTTGGCTCTTCAGTGTATACATCAACCATATAAATACAACTATATTAACAACACACAACTAAAAAATATAACTATATAACTTTTACATGTTTAACTGTACATATAAAATTCCCGAATCAGGGAGGTGTATCTCAATAAATTTATAGCTTTTTCTGTCCGATTTTTCTTATCTCTACTTTCTACTGGCCAAAAATAAATTGCGACTACGACGTCAAACTAAGCACGTCATGGCGAGTGTTTGATTACTAAATCTATAAAACCATAAACTTATAAAACTTCTTGAACAATTTGAACCTGGTTACGTACGATTACTTAGTAATGCGATTTGTAGATGCACTTGCTCTTCTGCATAAAAATAAATATTTCTAATCAAACATTCAATATGCAGGTGATATTAACTTGAGGTGAAAAGAAAGTTTAACAAATTGTTCTAAAGAGTTTATTTGCCTATTTTACACCTTCAACGAGTAATTTCAGCACCTAGACCAATCGACAATCAACCTGCATTGACTTTTAAATATGAGGGGTTGCATCAAACTGGTATGATATACGTACGAATTTAATAAAAAGCTGTGCGCATCTCTGTCCATTTGCTTTTACTGTGTCCACTCATTTAACCTCATCAAGCTATTTTCTATGACACGCTGCCGAGAACTAGCATTTATCTTTGTCTGCAAACATATAGCAAATAAAATTGCTCGCCTCTCACGTTCATTTTGGGTCGTTATTACAGCGGGCGTATCAAGCTTTCTCAATAAACGTCTGAATCGTGACACGCCACAGACGAGACAAATGTGTAGTTCTTGGAAACTCGGCAAGGTCACGGAGAAAATGAATTTCGTGAGTGTACACGAATAGAATCTTTCAAGCTAGATCGAACATTTTCTTTCATTTGCTCCCTGTGTAATATTTCATGTTTCATTACTCCTTGTATACTTATTTGATGCAACCCTTCATACGCAAATGTCTATACAAATTGGCTGTCGCACACGGTCGCAGGCGCTAGAGACTGACACCCGTTCAAAGTTATCAAAGCGTCAAATCAATTCTTTTGGGATAACTTGTGAATAGTAGTTTACGTAACATGGGCACGAAGCAGGTGATTCATGCACGAGCTCAGTTTGTCGTCCAAGCGGAGCGAGAACAACAAAGAGACGAGAGCGGGAAATACCTCGTGCCCGTGTTCCGTCTTACTATTTTTTAACAAGTCGTAAGCGAAACGCAATGCATTAAGTGAATGAATATCATTTAATTATTAAATAACTAGAAATACCTTATTTGTACAAAAGTACGTTGATTACTGTCAGTGTCATAACACTATTGTTTGTAAATAATATAGCAGCACGTCGTCAAGACGAAAAACAATTGCGAATTGTTACAGATGTTTTGCACACGCTTCGCAATTTTCGCACACTCTTCGCGGTGTTTCGCACACGCTTCACCGTGTTTCGCTCACAAAAAATTAGCTGTTTTTCACACGGAAAACAAGCACGAAAAACAGTGTTTCCCGCACGGCGTGATAAAAACTGTTTCCCTGCATCGCAATTCTCACATCTTTAAAGGTGGCTAAGCTCGTTATGTCCTACATAACTTGCTATAATTCTCCAAAGACATCTCAGAATCTCTTTCCAGCAGCAAAGTGCGTGTTGCTTGGCTGGCGTGCTGCAGCGCTACTCACCTTGCTGCAGGAGCGCGCCGTAGGTGAACCAGAGGCAGGCGGTGACGCGTCGCAGGCTGCCGGTGGAGAGCCCGTGGAAGGCGTAGAAAGGGGAGCGCGAGTGCACCGCGTTGAGTGCCCCCGCAGCCGTCAGCGCCCCGAGCGCCACGCACACCCACGCCTGCGCGCACACCGCCGCACGCCGCACCGCCCGCTCTCACACACGCGCTCGCTCCCTCGCGCACACCCCGCATAGCTTTCTCTCTTTCCCCGCAGCACCGCTTCCCGCACAGAAGTGCACGCGCATCTCCCCCGGATTTACCACTTTTCCCCGCTCGCCGCACCGCTCCTCACCGCTTACACAGCCTTCTCTCCGCTCGCGCGCCTTTGCCAGGGCTTTGCCCCAGACTACCCCATTCGCCGCACCGCCCACTCACCCGCACGCGCATCTATCAGGGCTTTCCCAGTCTATCCTGATGGCCTACCTCTCCGCTCACACATCCACATGCACCTCTGCGAGGGCTTTTCCAGTCTAGCCCGTTCTCCGCACCGCCCACTCACGGTTACGCGCCTCTACTAGGGCTTTTCTAGTCTACACTGCTGGCTGCAAAGCTTCGCTCACACGCGCACGTGCATCTGCGAGAACTTTTCCAGTCTCACCCCGCGCTCCACACCGCCCACACACACACGCTCGCACGCGCCTCTGTCCGGGCATTCTCACTCTTCCCCGCACGCCACATCGCTCCGCTCACACACGTGCACTCACATCTGCCAGGGCTTTCCAATCTACCCCGCTTGACTTGTCGCCCTCTCACACACGCGCTCGCGCCACTGCCAGGACTTTCCCAGCCTACCCGCTCGCCGCACCGCTCCGCTCACACATGCACACGCGCCTCTGACAGGGCTTTCTCCCTCCCCCCGCACAGCACGAAAACCTTGCTAAGATAGTTCCTCGAAGTATCTCATGATATACCTCCGACGGAGAATCGGCTAAGATATGTTAGCGCAAAAATGTTTGCCCTGTAGCGCCTGTAGCAGGAGGTTATGGGGTTTGAGTTCCGATAGAGGAGGATTTTTCGGTATTAATTAACACTAGCTTGAGCGAATTCAGCCACAATCAGCAAGAGTATTCCAGCAGCCGACAGCTATGATAGACGACTCACTAGTAAATGAGATGAAGGGGTTAACCAGGCCACCACTAAATGTATCGATGGTTTTCGGGTAAAGGGAGTTAAGGCATAAAACTGAGTTTGAAGAAAAGCGGAAATAACATTTTTTGTGACCATTATACATCTGAGAATATTTCAAAAAGATAAAATTCACTTTATTTTGATTATATATATATATATATATATATATATATATATATATATATATATATACAGATTTGCGATATAGATCATATATTTTGCCATTACTCCTGAAGCAACAAAAAATTACTTTTATAAAATATGAATTAACTCTGCTGACCCAAATACCATCAAAATGCTCGTCGGCCTTTAATTATTTATACGATAAAACTATTAAGCTATTATTGGTCTAGATCTTGAAATAAAATTACGAAATTTAATGATTAGATAGTTTGAGATTTTATCGAACCTTAGTTGATTTGATCCACAGTAAAGTAAAGCTTTTCCACGAATAAGACCTAGCAATATTACTTTCCGCGTATCACCACAACCACAGCATGTAGTAATTACTATATTACCTTGTAGATTGAGTCGAAAACGTCCCCCAAAGGAAATCGAGCTGGAGGCCTCTTGATTTTGATGATTTTGATGATTATATCATAAACTTTACATTGCATTTTTTAACAAAATGAGAATTTTGTTTGGAAATTACTCAACCTCCCTTCGAACAGTTAATTTTCTAACTGATCTCACTACAATTGTTTTGAAAACTTAGATTATCCCAATATATGCTAAGCTGTCCTCTATGAAATAGGAAATGTTTGATTCGTTCCCTTCAAATACGTTGCCTACGAAAGCGTCAAAACGCACATTTCCTCCAGTCATATCTCCTCAAACATATTTCTTAAAGTCTCGTGTTCCTGTGTAAAAATAGTTTGTGATATCGATTACCTCCTACATCGGTTTGGTAAGAAATTTCAAAATTACCCTGAGAAATTGTGTTACTTCAGGAACACTTGAAAAACAATGTAGATTAGTTGCATCGTGCAAATATTTCACAATTTGTAAGTCATTGATTTAAAAGTGAAAATAGATGCATACTGAAACTCACTAATTGGAGTGATTCTAAAAACCTGAGCTTTGGCCAGGACGGATACCCACAAAAAATATCATAACTATCAAAAAGGGATCACGGAAAACCTGGTTTAATGGTTCAAGGACGCATTATTTGTGAGCTATTCGCATACTGGAAGAGTTTGTTCCAGAGCGAACGGGTTGTAGGTCACATTACACTTACCCTTTTCTCCATTTCATAAAGTGCACACTTGTTGTCTTAAATCTGTTTGTTAGAGACCAGAGAAGTAATGTACTCTTCTGCAGTATCTCATTTATGATGGTTTATGTCTATGATTTGTCACATGAGCAGAAGACCACCATCTTTTCGTGGCAAATATATGTAGAGGGAATGGTTTCCTACAAGTAGTACAATCACATCATTTTCTCTTGTAAACTATATATTGAGGGGATAGTTTCTTACAGATGGTTAAGAACCATCAACGTTCGTTGGCAAATTATACATTAAGGGAATGGTTTCTTTCAGATAGTACAAAACCGTCATTTTTACTTGGCAAACCATACCAGCGGCTCGAGAGAAAGTCTTTTCGGCAAAATTTGATATGCTTCTTTTCCCCTGGCCTCTGTGACAGATTTATCGCACATTGCTGGTTTATTGCTTGAATTTGTTGTCTGAACTAGGTTCAGCTCCGAGGAATCTTCTTCTTACTTCTATGCAATACTGCTACCATAAACGCGAGGAAAAAACAGTTAATTAAATTTCGCCAAAAAGGCACTTCCTCTTAATTTTTTTCAGAAGCGGCTCAAATACAGGGAGAGGATAAGGCGAAGACTCCTGTTTCCCTATGGAGGCGGGAATTTATTTTTATAGGTCCGGTAAATTAAGCCTTGCGGATAAAGCAGCTAGAGAGGGAGGGGCTTTGTCTAAACTAACTAAACTACTAAACTGTCTACTAACTAACTAAAAAAATATTTAATCTAATTGTATAGTTAAAACTACCTGCACTTTGGCATGACTAACTTACGGGTATATAAGAATTCTTAACTAATTACTGAGGAATGTTTTCTTTGTCGATTGATTAATATTTTTCTACATTCACGCATCATTCACACTTGTTTAATATTTACGTGTAGAAGCACTCACGTCTGCGGTGAAGGGGTAGAGGAAGAGCGCGGCGCGGCCCAGCTCGCGCGGGCGCGCGGTGAGCAGCGTGTAGCCGGCGCAGCCCAGCGGCCGCGTGTAGCGCACGCTGCCGCCGCCCACGCCCGCGCGGTGCACCACCGGGAACGCCCCCGCGCCCATGAACACCTGCGCACGCAAGATGGGCTCTTTGGTTTCGTGGGGGAAGGTGGCGTACTGGGGCTTGGCGGTGGGTGGGGTTTGATTGATTGATTGTTAGCGAATATAATTTAGTATATTTGAAATGAAAAGTAAGCACGCAAGCGGGGCGCACCAGGTTTGCCAGGGAAGGTGACGTACTGGGGCTTGACGGTGGGTGGGGTTTGATTGATTGATTTATTGTTAGCGAATATAATTTAGTATATTTGAAATGAAAATGAAGTATTAACATTGATTTCCTTAAAATTGTAAGTAAGAACTTTCGTAAATTTGTTAATGGTACTTGGTTTGAAATAATATTTATGGCATGAAACAAATGTTCTCCATAGAATTCCTGAGTAGTCTATTCGATTTCTTCGCTCAAAAAATTAAATGTCAGACGTTGTTAGTATGTAATCTGTTGTTTCTGTGACGCCTGTCATCACCATTGCCAGTTTGGCCGATTTCGGATCAACTAAAGACCGAGATTTCCTGGTAAACAACAGGTCATACCAAATGTTTGCAAGTTGAGTTTATTTGAACGAATGGAAGAAGCCTCAATTACATCAGTAACATATCCAACAGTTTGAGTTATTCATCACAACTGGTTTCGATCGCATTTTTTACGTCATTTTACTTTGCTTTTACTGAATTTTAAAAACATTATAAGAGCGTTTTTTTGTTATTTTTTAAGGTTGCATCAACATCTAGGTCATTAGCGACCACTATTGCATATAACGGTATGGCAACTGTGAAGATGACGTGATATGGTGATGGTAGGGGGTGAAAGGACGAACCCAAATACAACCACGCTCGAGACGGGACTCGGCCTCGCGATCCTTCGGTCCGAGATCACTGCAGACGACTACCTTAACGATCTCGGCCATCCGGATGGTCTAAGAGCATTTTATTGATCGTTTTTTGGCGGTTTTATATCATCAAAATGCGCCTCCTATTCACCCCTTTCCCCTGTTTCTCACCTTGTGCGTGCGGACTTCCTTGACGATGGCCTTCCAGGGGATCCTGGCGAGCGACTGGTCCTCCCACTCGTCGTCCAGCGGCTTCAACAAACGGCGAACGCTCAGCCTGCGCGGCGCGGGGGGCGGCGCGGGGGCGGCGCGGGGGCGGCGCGGGGCGGCGCGGGGGCGGCGCGGGGCGGCGCGGGGGCGGGCGCGGGGGGCGGCGCGGGGCGGGCGCGGGGTGGCGGCGGGGGGCGGCGCGGGGGCGGCGCGGGGGCGGCCGAGGGGGCGGCGCGGGCGGCGCGGGCGGCGCGGCCGGGCGGCGCGGGCGGGCGCGGGGGCGCGCGGGGGCGGCGCGGGGCGGCGCGGGGGCGGCGCGGGGGCGCGCGGGGGCGGCGCAGCGCGGGACTCACCACCACGGGCTGCGAGCTGTCGTTGCTGAGGCTGCGCCCGCCCTCGCCCGGGAAGTACAGCATGTAACTGCAGCCAGGCGCGCAAGCACAGGCGCTTACAACTTTGCTCTTTGATATGCAAAAGGTACGTGTTCCAAATGAGATACAGGATCGTTCAAATTTTACCCGTCGTATAAGAGGTAATACGATATTTTCCGAAATTGAAATGTAATGTAACATGAGCTACATTCTTTGTTTCCTGTTATAAATGTTTTTATAATCATGGAATAGTTACAGTTTTGCATTTATTGAAGAAATATTAGAAAAGAGAAATCCGCTTTGCCCACTCCATAATTTTTACTTTCTCGTATACGTTCGTATATATGGAGCAACTCTCTGTACGTAGTATAGAGAAAGTTATGTAATGCTGCGGAAAATAGATTTTGAGATTTCAACGGAAATATACGTTTTGGGGTCCCCTGATACCGAAACGCCCCTCTGTCTGTAAACAACCCTAGCGCCTAAATTATGTGTACATTTTTTTTTCAATTTTAATATACCCTTGTCTATCTGGTCTCCCTCAAAGCTCTGAGATTTTAAAAAATATTCATAGCTCCAATTTTTTTCTTAAAATTTCTGATCAGAATAAAGTACACTTGTAAAGGTGGCATAGGTACGATTTTCACAGTTAAGTTTTTTAATAAAAAGTTAGAATTACAATTATGCTCTTATTCGAATGTGGGTGTTAATGCGTTTATTTCGACATTTTGTATTTTCTCAAAATTTAAGGACTCGTGCATGGCGAAGGAGTAGAAAGCGCACTCACGTGAAGTTGAGGTTCTTGGCGAGAGCGTCGAGCACGTGGGTTACGACGCCGTGGAAGTCACGTTTGCCGTCGCTCTCGTTGTAGGAGATGCTCTGCCACGGCGGGTCCTGTTCAAGGGAGGAGAGTCACAGAAAATTTACCTATGATTTTACATATCATCACCATATTTTTTTGATTGGCATAGAACATTTATGTTGAAAATGTTTTCTTATTGATAATAGTGTTTGAGAGTTTTTGCACCACGTATATCGTAAATCGATATTTCGCACATTAGAGTTAGTCACGTGACCTGTGTCTGATGAAGTGTAGTCTCTTCCACGTTTCGTGCTACGATAAAATGAAGCAGTTCCGAACTGTGTTTGCGTGCTAAGACTACGATAAATGGAAGTAGTTCACGAACTGCAAACGCTAAGTTCCCCTAATGTCACAGTATCTTGATTCGCATTTTAAGACTAGAGGAGTCTTTAAACATGATGTGACATCATGGGAAAATAGAGTTTGCAGCATACACTGTCGCCACAGTCATAAAAAATCTTTATTTATTGTGGTCGCTAGACTTAAATCGTACTTGATAACTTAAAACAGCACCATTCATAAAATTAATGGACACTACGGAACGTCTGTCCTTAATTTATAAACCTATACTATTAAAAAACGTGCTATAAAATAAATAACAAGAGCATCAAAAACAATTATTTGGGACTCATAACATCAAAATTCAATATTTGGATACAAAGAAGGGAAATTCAAAAGACCGTTAGACATTATCTTAAAATAGTATACAAATAAGGAAGTACAGTAGTAATAAGAGTTGCATCAAAAAGTAATAAATAAGAGGACCCAAACAAAAATTGAAAACAGCGTTAAAAGGCCAAGGTCGTGATGACATAAACAGGGGCGCCCATCAAAAACCAGGGGCCTTAGGCAGTTGATCCATGGGGACTTCTCATTTCAGACACAAAATTCCCTCCTCTCCCAATTCATAAGCAGAATTCATTTATCCGTAGATCAGAAATAACTTATAGCGTTAAATTTGAATTAGAGATTTTAGTATATATTTTTTATTTCTTTTAATGAAAACAACAGGCATCAATTAAGTCGCGGACTGGGGCAAGTTGCAACAGCGGCCTCCCCTTCTGGTCACCTCTAGTTATAAATCAGACACCTTGTGAGTAAAAAGGTCCTCACGTGGAAGGTGAGAATGCTGAGCGTCCTGCCGCGGAAGCCCCTCGCCTCGTGCGGGAAGAGGTCGTCCTCGAAGGCGGCGCCGGCGGCGGGCGTCCAGTGGCCCACGGGCAGCAGGCGCGCGCCGCCTTCGGCCTCGCCCGCGCCGTCGCCCGCGCCCCACGTCTCCGCGCCCAGCAGCACCCAGCGCTCGGCGCGGCCGCAGCGCCCGTGCCGCACCAGCCACCCGCGCACCAGGCGCCGCAAGGCGGCCACGCGCTCGCGCCGCGACGGCCGCAGCGCCGCCCACTCGTCCGGCGACACCTGGGGCAGCGCGCGAGCACATGTGCTGCCTCGGGGGGTGGACGCCCCGAGCGGTTCTCTCTCTACGGTGAAGCGGAAACTCTTTCACCCCTTAGGAGGGAACCGTTGACCGATGAAAAGATATTCGGCAGGTCACGTTCTGAGTCGAGGACATTTCATGTACTCACCGAACATATGTGCATACGGAGTTGCCTAAACCTTATGAGTAAATGGCACATACATAACACATGAACAATACTCCGTTGTACGTAATTTCTCACTTCGTGTTCATGAGCAAAATGTGAACATTTTCGAACCTTACACATCGCCTAGAAGTTTGTAACATTTATTCTGAGACATCCTATAAATCTTAACGTTCAACGTCATTAGGTAGGGTGGTATGTCTACGTTTGCCTCGAGTTCGCCATCGGGTATCTATGTTTGCTGTGTATCCGAACGGTCGCGGATTCGATACCCACCTTGGGCATGGCTGTTTGTCCCTTGTGTCTCATGTACGTGTTGTCGCGTTCTACTTATTCAGATCAGAGGAGCACGCAAGTGTGTTGGTGTCTAGTGTATGGTCGAATGTGCTTCCCATCGGAACGTAAAGGATAACCGGCAGTCTGCTGAATAAAAGCCCCAGGTGGAAACTGTCTATTTTTGTTTCTGCGCAAGCCCACGTAAATTGTGGTCATTACGTACGCGCGTTAAGCCTCGCCTCACCTGCAACGACTGGTTGGCCTCCCGTCGCGCGCGCGTCTCCACGGCGAAGGCGAGCGCGCGCAGGAGCTCCCGCGCCGCGCAGCCCGCCCCGTCCGGCGCCCTCGCCCTGGGCCCTCGCGGCCCGCGCGGGCGGCGCTCGCACGACGCGTTCAGCGCCAGGGCGGCGTGCATCCCGTCGCGCAGCGCCGGCCGCAGCTCCTCCTGCAGCGCCTGCGCACCCCTCCCCCACACACACATGCACACACACGCACACGAAGGACAGCGCTCAGGGGCCGCCCATAAATTGATGACTTGAAATAAAAAAGGAAGGATATAAGTGCCGTTTCTGTTAAATTTACGTCTTTACCACAGTAATGATAACAGAATCAAGTCCCATAACGTAAATGAGAACTAAACTCCAGACGCATTTCTTGATACTGTTACGGGATGATAATAAATGAAAGGAGTTGTATGTGTCGATAGGTTTAACGTAAATATAAACTCATTTTTTCTCGAAAGTATGAAAATGGCACTTACATCCTTTCTTATTGCAAGTTTTCAATTACTTAACACAAATTTGGAGTATTTTTAAGGGTAGAGGATAGCATGAATTGGGTCATATTATTGGTTTTCTTTTTTTGCTAAAGAAATAGTTTAAACAGCGCTCTTTCCAAATATATTAACATGTTTATTATATGATGTCTGGAAGTCTCTTTAATTATTGTTTAAATGCCGGAGTGCGCATGAGCCTGCCCCCAACTGCTTGTCGGCTGATTTTTTCGTAATTTTGAATGGATGTTGGGTTGTTAATGAGTTATTGAAACATACTCTTGTACATAAGTTGGTAGCATTGGTCTTTTCCGCTAAAAAATATGATCCAAAATATGGTGCACGAATGTTCTAGTAGAGAAGTGGCAAGTACAAACTTTTTTCAAATGGCGTTTGCCGAAAATGTACTTATTTCGTAATTAATGTACCTTTTCTCAGACACTATGTTCATAATTTATTACATTTTACTGGGTACATTCATTATAGTATTAGCAATAAATTTATATCTTATTTAATCATTCTTCAATAAGAAAATATAAAAAAATAATGTGTCCAAAAATGCTTAAACAAAATTTAATTGAAAGTTATAATAATAGTTATAATTAAAAAATACTAATTATTTTTTTAACCAACTCAAAAAATGTCACAATAATATCAACGAACGTATTTTTAAGTGTGCGAAATATCATAATTTTCTAGTTAACCATTTTTTAGGAAAGGTACATCAGTGATAGCAAATTTAGAATGGGCGGTATGTATGGTACCTCCTCTCCTCTGTAACGCCTCCTTCCTCGGAAGCCTACGTTCTCAGATTATTCCCCCCTACCTGCACCACCCCGTGCGGGGCGGCGGTGGCGCAGCCGGTGTCAGGCAGCAGCAACAGCCAGCGGTGGCGCGGCGAGACCATGCCCAGGGCGGCCGCCGCCGCCAGCAGCGGG